GTAAGTGTGGAAGAAGTGTGTAAGGGGCCAGCTGGCAAAGTGGTCCGGTGTGAGGTGTGAGGCAAATTCAATTTCACTTTGTGTTGAATGAATAGTTTTATAAAGAATTCAGTGAATATCACCATCTTCAAATACCAAATATTTGTATGTCCTAGAAATGCCCTCAGAGTTGTGAGCTAGCCACTGGTCTGCTATGTCACTGAGAGCTCTGTTCTGTTCATGTATGAATTTGGGACATGTGAGAGCTCAACCTTCGGGTGGGATGATCCATGTGAAACAGCCCATTTCTCTAAGGCTGATTCCTCAGGGAACAACTCTTCTCTTTGTCTCTTTTTAAAGTGTCTTAGAAGCCCACCCCACCCCCCATTCTGCCAGGCATGGGCGAAAGATGCTCCCTCACCCCTATCCCCCATCTTTTGCTACCTGCAGCAGGCCAGAGAGCTGGCCCTGAGGTCAAGTCAGGAGGGTGTAAAAACTGCCCCTCACCAGCTGCAGCACACAGGAGAGTGGGCCCTGCATCCCACCAGGGCAGCAAACTAAAGCTAATCCTGTTGTAGGGGATGCAAATAAGCCAGGCTTGAGGATATGAGAGCAGAAGAGCTGATCCTGCTGCCTTTCCTATGCCCACTAATGCAATGAGGGGAGAGGGCCCTGTACCTTTCCTGTGCAAAACAGTAGAGCTGACCCGGTTGAGTGGAAAAACCTGGATCTGAGGGCCCAAGAGCAGAACTGGCTCGCTCCTCACTGTAGGCTTCACTGGATGAGCTAGTCAAGGCAATGCTGAAGAGCTCATCAGGTAGTGACTATGATAGAAAACTAAAAGCTGACCAATCCGGCTACCATAACCCAGACCCAGAACCAGAGCTATGAGTTGGCCCACCCCAATCTCCACCAAATCTATGAATTGTTAGAACATGCGAAGGGGACAAAACTACAGATCCAAAACAACAAGATCTCCATTACACAGGGCAACAACAGGATAGCCAAGAAGCACCTTAGGGAGGGCCCAGCAGAAACCAGAGGCCTAGAACCAGAACAGTGACTCTTTGCAATGAGCACATGTAAGTAAAGATATAAGGACTAAGGGGTTACTGTATAACTTGCCATGTCACTCTGCAACTTCCATGATGAGATTTTTCATTTTTTTCTTTCTTTTTTCTTTTGCTTTGCTTTTTTTGGGGGGGTCTTTTGTTGTTATTTTTTGTTTTGTTTTGTTTTGTTTGGGGGAAGAGGTTGCAAGGGCAGAGGGTAGATATGAAGGGTTAAGAAATGGAGTTGAGATGCAAGATGTGAAATCGACAAAGAACCAACAAAAGTAAAAAATAAAGTGTCTTAGAAATTTTCTACTCTTTGTTAAACACGTATATTTTCCTTAACTGTCCTCAACATGGAAAATAGTGTCAGCAACAGCCAAAGCAAAAGTATAACAACACCATCAATCTTTATTGCATAGACTTCTTTATTGGTTTTTAATTGCATGATTCTTCAGCAGGGGGTGGAAAGTATAAGACTGTGGATTACAGCTGCCTTTAGGCAGATCTTGAGCCTCCCCCAGACTACTCCCTAGCCTTGCTGTGCATTCCAGGCATATTTAAATATCTGCTGATGTCTGCCTGTCCCAACAGTCCCCATCACTTCCAGCCATCTGTGCACACTGTGACTGTTACTTAAACGATTATTCCATTTTCTCATCTGTCTAAAGCACAGATCATCCTTAGGACTGGGTTCGGGCAGTGTACCCTATGGTACGCACCTTCTTTGGCCCAGCATATGATTACACAGCCTCCTCCCCTGCTCCTACCATACTTGGGCCATCTTCTGCCAGAGCCAGTATTTACTAGCCTGTCTGACTACTGGACAGTAAGCTCCTTGAAGCACTGAGTTGTCTTGTTCTCACATGCATAGCAGCTAGCACAATTTCTAGCTTATGGTAGAGAGTCAATTAATACATCTTGAATGAATGTGGAATGTGCACTCATTCCTGGGTATTTGGAAACAGATCCTGGGGGAAAAAAAGGAAAGAAAGGAAAAACTACATCTTGAAAGGAAAATCAATATAAACTCTAATGTTTGATCAGTCTAGGTTACAGAGTAAGACCTTGTCTCAAAATAAAAAGAAAGAGAGAGGGTGCCCAAAGCATGAATACCTTCTCCTGTTAATGTTTTTAGCTCCTTGCTTCCAATTATAATAATTTTCTCACATGCTTTGAGTGCTTCTGTTTTCATTTACCAGTATATGGTTAGACTGGAAATAGCATTAAATGTTTATTCATGCATCTGCAAACTCTTGGGAAACTCCACTGAGATGACTATAGTAACAGTGTCCATTAAGAGTGACACTGTTTTTGAGATACTTTCTGTTATGGACCTTGTTGCTTGCCAAATTTTGATACTACAGATAATGCTGAAATAAATATTTTTGCACTTCTAGTTATTGCTCCTTAGAGCATTCTGAAAATAAAATTATTAGGTGAAAATTTTACAACTCTAATGGATGAAATGGAATAAAGCTCTCTGGGGACTGGGAAGGGTAGTGGGAGGGGAGATGGAAAGAATGTTAATAAGGGTTCCATAGTCACACTGGAGAAATTAGTTCTGGATTTCTTAAAATAGACTAGGGGTAACGATTAGTTAGAACATTATATGATATATTTTTTAAAATGAGTAAAGGAATAAAAATCTCCAGTTATAAAAAGGACTCATGTTTGAAGACATGGAAATGTGTATTATTTTGATTATTATATACACATATTAGATTACCATAATGTGCCATATTGAAGATGTGCAAATACTACACCTCAGTTTAAAAAGAAAACTTTACATTTCTGCTTGCAGTGCTTCAACAAAAACATCTCAATACACCCTCACTGCCACACTGTCTTTTTTAAAGAGTGAAGCTTACATGCAAAGAGGAACACTTAGTTTTCACTTCCCCTCAAGGAGCATCTGTGATGCACTCCCCTGTGCCTGCTTTTCTGCTGGATTATGTTTCATAGTAACATTAAAGTTTTTGCTGGGTTGGGAAAAAAAAAAAAAAAAAACATTCTTGAGACTGAGGAACTGGGTTCCATCCCCACCACCCACAGAGACACCATGTGCAGGGATGCACTTAATAATCCCATCATGGGGTTAAGGAAGGGGGCAGAGACAGGGCTCCTGGAGCTGGCTGTCCAGCTACTCATGTCTAATCAACAAGCTCCAGAGACCCTGAATCAAATAAAGAAGGTAGGAAGTAGCTGAGGAAGGAACTTGATGTTGACCCGTTGCCTCCACAGGTACACACAGTGCATATGTGTACATGTACCAAATACTGTAAGTTCGTGAGGTATTTGACATTCTCCCTCTAATATATGCCTTCGATACTAATTTGTATTTTAGCATTTTCTAAAATTTAAGCTCGGCTCTATGAATTACTCAACAACCTTTCTTGCCTTCTTAAATACATTACATACACATCTTACAGCTCAGAAACACATTTTGTCGTTGTCCCTTTTTCTACTGCCTCGATAAAATACACTGACAAAAGCAGCTTGAGGGAGAAATGTTGAATTCGGCTTTTGAGTCCAGTCTGTCACTGTGGGGTAGTGGAGGTGGCAGGAACTTGGAGCAGCTGCTCACAGTCAAGAGCAGAGAGAGGATGCTTGCTTGTGCTCAGTTCACTTTCCCCACTCTCGGGATTCCCTGCTGGGGAAGAGTGTTGCCCACAGTGGACCAGTCTTTCTGCCTCAGTTAACAATTAAATGTGATCAAGATCCCAAAGACATGATTATTTCATTGCTACTTCAGAACTGTGAGTTTACTACTGTTATGAATTGTAATGTGAATATCTGATATGTGCCCCTTGTGAAAGGGCCATTTGACCCTGCAAAGGGTGAGACCCATATGTTGATCTAGACAATCTCTCGTCATGACCGTCCTGCCAGATGGCTTTAATTATATCAAGCAGACAATTAAACTGACCACCACAATTAGACACTATGTTTTCTTCTAATTGTTGCTGTTGTTGTTACTGTTTTTGTAGGGATGTTGATGTGTGATTTTCTTATTGCTATGATCAAACAACTACTAAGCCAATTCAAGGCTACAGTTTGAGACACAGGCATCTTAGCAGGAAAGTTTTGACTGGATTTTGAGGCACCTGCTCTCATTGAGTCTTTGGTCAGGAAGCAGAGAGAGATGATGCTGGTGCTCAGGTAGTGTTCTCTCTTTTATTCAGTCCAGGACCCCAGTCCTCGGAAAGGTCACTGCCAACATTTAGTATGTGTCTGGTTACCTCTGTAAGGACATCCAAAAACTCCTATCCAGACATGTACAGAGATATACCTCCTAGGAGATTCAGGATCCTGTGGAGCTAGCAGTCAGTATTAGCATCAGAGATGTGTCTCCCAGGAGATTCAGGATCCTTAGGAGCTGGCAGTCAGTGTTAACATCAGAGATGTGTCTCCTAGGAGATTCTGAATCCTGGGCAGCTTGCAGTCAGTATTAGCATCACAGTGATGTTGGGTTGCTGCTAATTTGACTTTCCTATTTTGAGGCAGGGTCTCACAAAGCAGCTTGGGATAGCCTCAAACTCTTTCTGCTTCCACCTCCCCAGTGCTGAGATTACAGGCATTACATTTAACTTTCTCACCCATTTAGAATTTATCTGTGGCTGTATTTTGAGGTGAGGTTTGAATGAAAGTTTTTTGTTGTTGTTTTGTTTTGTTTTTTATAGAACAAACAGTTTTTCCTGGGTTAGTGCATACTGCACTTCCATAGGACATAAATTCAGTTCCCGGCATGCATATCAGGAGATCTAACGCCTCTGGTGTCCAAAGACACCTGCACCCAAGGGCACATGCCCACATGAAAATCCACATCACACATGTAATTTAAAAGCATAAAAATAGATCTTTTAAAAAAGAAACAATATAGGAGCCAGAATACTTAAAAAAAAATACTTAAAAAAAAATCCAAAGATTTAGCTTGATGTTGACCGTAAGCTTTGCCTTGTCCCGCAGGTGATCAAGAGCCGGCTGTGAGCAGCGACTCCGACATCTCATTGATTATGGCACTGGAAGTGGGACTGTCTGATGTAGAACTTTCCACTGACCAAGACTACGAAGAGGTGAAGTCTTGAAATGGTACAAACAGACGAAAGAAAACCCAGGACCCAGGGGGGACAGGAAGGAAGCATGCTCCGGGACTTGAACTGGATACACAGCCTTCAGCTCATCACGGCAACCCCAGGGCTCTCTGTTCAAGGGTAGTAACGAAAGCAATATCCAAAGTTTCCAGAGTCAGGATGCGGGTTCCCACCTCTGCAACAATCGTGGCCTTGGTGTGGAAATTGAAAGCTGGATCCCTCCGCGTCGGTGCAGACACGCGGCCGACTGGAAGATCTGTAAGGCTTCTCTCAGGCTTCTCCCATCTTCTTGTTCTTGTTTGGAGAAGATGGCTTCATTCCCCTAATGATTTCTCTTTAAAGATGATGTGTAGTTTACATCTATTCCTTTGTTTTCCCTTTGATTCACTCCAATCCATGTACAGAGGTGTGTTTAGAGGTCCTGGTTGCTGCTACAATGATTGGCTTATACCACATCTCTGAGGTTTACCGTCATGAGCTCTCAGTGTAAAGTGTGTATGACTTCTAGAATTGCCCAGCACCCTGCAAGGGTGGAAGGCCAGAATTCATCAAGTGTCTAACTCCCTCCTCTAAGTGAGTCTTGATGAGCCCTGCTGCCAGAGACAGCAACACTAAGTTCTGGATCTGGTGAATCCATTGCCCGCTGTTTTCACCTACATCACGCAGGCCTCCACTTGCCATGCTCTGTCCAGGGACACCTTGGCAGAGAGAACTATCAGGGAGAAGGGTGGTTCAGCTGCTTCAGGGTCTTAGTCTAAACCTCAGAAGTTCCTCACAAGGCACGAATGCCAATGCTCGAAGTGTGTGGCACTATAAACCTAGTTTAAAAACAGGGTACCCCTTCTTCCCAGGGCAAGGAAGATGTCTGTCCCCCTCCCTGGTTATCCCCAAAGCCTCAGCATTTTCTCCTTTGTAAGCAAGTTCTGTGGGACCAAGCTGTAGAAAAGATACAATCATTTTTTTTTAAGTCACTAGCATCCAGCCAGGTGTGAGCTTACTTCTGGTTCTTTTCCTCACCAGCCAACATGGAAAACTCTAAATAAATCCTTAGCAGTTTGCAGCTTGGGTCTTCCTGAGAGCATCCCGGTACCAAGAGGAGGATGAGGAATGATATGATAAAGTGCAAACCAAAAAGTACATCATGGGAAATTGCTGAATTGAGTTTCTCCTGATTGTGAGCAACAAATAAGGAAGAAAAAAAAATAACTATCAAACTCCATCTGTGCTATAAAGTGATTTATGATTTTATTCTTTTTGTTTGCTTGTTTGAAACAATGACAAAAATGTTGTTTTCCAAATGGACAGTTTTGTGACACAGGCAACCAGCCTCTACAGAGGCAGAGGCGGTCACCAGAGTCACTGGGTGACCAGGAGGATCACCTCATCGTCTCTAGCAGTTGGCAGGGTCACACAGCAGGGATTAGCCAGTAAAGCAAGCTCTTCCCACTGAGCTGTATTTATGTATTTGATTTGGGCTTTTCCACCTCATTACACTAATACTCATTCAAGCAGGGCTTGGTTGAGCTGTAAATCCTTGCTGCCCACTGGAATCTTGAGTCAGGGGCAAGAGAGTTCTCCACTGCTTTTTCTTGCCTTTAATGAGTTCCTATTTGATGGTGTCTGAGTATACAACAAAGCAAGGAGAACAAACGGCCTTCAGAAAAACCTCTTCTATCTAAGGTCCTGCACTTCCCATAATTCATTCTAGCCTCCAGTGGCTGAGGAGAGCCAGGTAGCAAGCAAGCACTGAAGCAAGATCTGAACAAGGAGGGAGGCATTTAGCAGATGACACACATGGTTCCCTCTCTTTTGTATTACTCATTGGCACTCCTCCAATGGGAGCTGTTTGTGAAAACAGTTGTGTCTCATAGCAAATTTTGATCTTAAATCTAACAAAATTAGGGTAATTCAACAGCAAAAGAAATACAAATTATATTGCATGCCCAGGGAGAAAAGGATTTGGTGAGTATTTTCTGTGTTTGGTGGGCATTTGCTGGCCAATGATCAGATAAATAACTGATTACATAGCAGCCCTTAACCTGATGTCCTATAGGATTGCTGAATGGATGATGAAGGTTCTAACAGGTTCGTCTTCTTAACTATAGCCTTCCTGCTACTTTCCACAACAAGAGACTCTGACTCAGTGATCCACACATGGCTATGTGGCCCAGAAATGCAAACTGAATAGGCATTTACAGGCATGCAGTTTTTTGTAACAAGTGTCTGCACCAACTCTGTACAAAAGAAAAATAGCCCAAGTCACATACATTTTTTTAAAAATTTCCATTACCCATATTTTAAGAAGCAAAAGAGAAACAGGTGAAAACAATTTATTAATATTTTAACTTAACCCAATATTATTGTTTCAACATGTAATTGATATGGAAAGTATTATGGAAATATTCCCTCTCCTTTTCAATATGTAACTTCTACATCTGTTGTGTCTTTTATACACACAAGACATCTCAATTTTTACTAGCCACAGCTTGAGCTTTCAGTAGCCATATGTGCCTAGTGGCCACCAGCTGGACAGCACAGCCTGAGACTCTTCACAAGTATGCCTGGCTCTGACAGAAGAGAAGGGAGACAATTACCTCAGCTTTCACAGGGATATTCGGACTCCATCCAAGCCACCTAAGCAGAGGGCCAGGGGTGTACTTGTTTTATAATTAATATTGGATCAAATAGCCTTTACCAATTTTCTGCTTCAATTTTCCAAGCAGTAATGTCCACTATCATCAACTCAACTGTTACTTCTCTGACAAGTTGTTTGTTAAAAAAAAAAAAACAACAACAACAACAACAGGACAACCAAACATGTTGATTTGGTGCTTAAATAAAATTGTACCGCTCACTTCTATAACGCCCCTTGAGACTCGTGTGTGGCACTTAGCCAAAGAGAATTTACCTCAATCCCTAGTTCTTCCTCAGAGATCTGAGGAGAAGCACAGGGGACTGCATACTGACCCCATATACACACGCATGCGGCCTTGTGAAGAGGGGATCTTGGAGGCTTGTGACCATCCAAGCTTGGTGAATGATGAGCCACCTTCTGTTGAGCATCACCCATCATGTATAGGCTATGGGAGGAAAAGAGCCTTGAATTGCTAGCGTTGCTTTCAGAATGGCTTCCCCCAGTGTGGTTAGTCATCCTGGAACAGTCGATGCCTCATAAATGCTGCATTTGAATATTGACTAGACCCTAGGTTTTAGTCTTGCCTTCCATGTTAATTCTGGTCACACAAAACCAAGGGAGAGACACAGTGTAGAGAAAGTAGATAATAAATGTAACAGAGGTGCCTAGCTAACTCAACACTGCATATAACATCCTGCCCGTGGAAACAAGTCTCTGTCCAAAGAAGTTTTGTTATTTTTGCTTTGTATTTTTCATAGGTCTTGCTGTGGTTCTATTAAGAATGGCTGTGCCCAGTAGCCATTTCTGTTACAATGCAGACACCCCGGGGGCCACCACACTTCCAGAATCATGAAGGATGACAGATAGTCTGTCTAGGACATACTGTTAGAAACTTAGTTGGTGTGAAATAAACTACAGAGCATAAGAATTTATCCACTGAATGTATATCCTTGGGTGACCTTGGAAATTACCAAATAACAATGTTCAGAAATTTTAGAAAATAGTGTCTCACCCTGTATGAAGGGAGAGCCCAGCCTTCTGCAGTACTGAGACTATTGAGGTGACGTTCTGTAGCAATCTCAAAATCCCTGGGTTTCTACTGTGCTTCCCTGAGTTTTTGACAGCCTGGGTTTTTTTGTTGTTGTTTTGTTTGGGGGGTTGTTTTGTTTTTTGTTGTTGTTTGCTTGTTTGTTTTTGTGTTTTTGTACACATATATGTGCATGCATACACACATGCACACAATTTCCCTATCTTACTTCTCATTTCCTTTTTTTCTTATTCTATTCTTTAGTTCATCACACTCTCTCCCTACAAGGAATGCTCCATAATGGCTATCTGGGCTGTACTTTTTCCTGGCTTGTGCAGGAAGCCCCCTGAGTAAATACTAACAAGGTTACAATTCCAGAGTGCTGTGGAGACCTGCTGTCTTTCATGGCCAGAATCTACAACCTTCTAGTTCCCGTGCCCTGGGAGTAGGATCTGTGGCTGCTATGTCTGACATCTGCCCAAGCTCCTTATCAGCCAGCATCAGGGCTTACTTCTTGGACAGATCCATAGGCCACTTAACATTGTCAAGGACCAACAGAGGCACTGCCCTGCAAAGGGCCAGCTGCCTGCCTTTTTGAGTAGCATCTCTGTCTCTGATAGGAAGGGACCAAGGATCGGGGTTAATGGCTGCTTTCACAGGGGAGGTGACCAGTGACCGCACTGAAGGACATCAATGAGGAGGTAGGATCCCAGGCCAAAGCAAGGCTGGCTAAGTGGGAAGTCTCTCTAGAAAAATGCCCCTGCTCTGGGTTCAGAGCTTATTAGTGAGTCCCAGGGAGAGCAGGTGTTTAAAAATTCAATATTCATGAGTTAAAACACTCTTGAATTACAAAGAAGGTTGGAATAACCTGAAAATGAGTTAATTCTGAAAATTGGTTCTCAGTTTCTCACTGGTACATAACTCTTCTGGCTCCATTCTGCTCCCAACACCAAGCCTCTTGCAGCAGGGACAGTAGTGTTTCAAGTCTGGTAGATAGGAAGCTACTTTGCCCCCACTGTGAGCCTTTTGGTGGCACAGTTGTCCCTGAATGAATGAAGTGAGTGCAGGACCTAGATGTGGATTTTTAATTACCAAGTCCTTTGATCGCATGAAATCCTTGTTCTGTAAGAGCATGCCTCAGTCTCTGTCTCTGTCTCTCTGTCTCTCTCTCTCTCATCTTTCATAATTGAGTGGCTTTTTCATGAACCTCAGTGGCCAGCTCCTCTAAGCCCGTGGCACTGCTGACATCCATACTCACTGCAGGGCTGTGGACTCTCTGGCTATTGGACACATGTGTGTTGATGGTGATTGGGTGGAAGTATTTTTCTTGTAAGAACTCTATTCAGTCAGACAAAAAACGCTATGGAGAACAGAGAGAAAGCTGTGTTACCCAAAGTCATTGCTGAGTAGAAGGTCTGTGGGTCTGGTATCCTTAGGCCAGCAATGACCTTGGGGATCAGAAATGATGTGAGGACCATGTGTGCTACCTAAGCCAAAGACTGACCACCACCCAAATGAACACATGTTCTTCCATGAACTAGCAGGGTTTTCTCCTGTTGTTCTCATGAACAAAAGTAAAG